TGGATGAACCGTTCTTTTATGGTCAACGAACTCACACTAATGCTAAGATTTATCGCGATATAAGTCTCTGACTGCTCATTTGAACTGCAGGGTTGTTGGTGGCAAACACGAGGTACCTCAGACGCCTTCTCCGCGACACACAGAATCAAGAAGGAAATCAAGAAAAACCAAATGGGAGAGAATGGATGTTGCTGCTGATATACCAAGAAGTAGTAGCAACATTGAACAGTTGTTCTGGAAAAATAGGAAACCTTATAGACGAGTAGCTCGTAAACGATCACATTTTGAGAGCTTGTCTCCTTTTATTTTTGTGCAAAATAGTTGATCTATGTAAATACTTTTTGCTCTTTATTTTTTTTATAATTCAATTGATTCTCATTTTTTTGAGTTTTTTTTTTTGCCATTCTTTTCACTTCCCTTTTGATGATGATCACAATAGTATCATCTCACAGTTTCTTACTTAAATTTTTTGTTCATGTACATATATTTGCAAGTCAACTAATGAAGTTTTAATAGAAATAATACTTAATAATAGGAGTATTCTTAGTTCCCAGGTTGGGAGAGTAGGAGCATTTTACTAACTTTGAAATTTCACAATAAATTGGTCAGTTCATGCAAATATTGTTGAAATAGTACGAACTGTCATTTTCCTTTTCTTTTCCATTGTTCCTTTCTGCTTTGTACTGGAATAGTACAAAAAGGCACCAACATGGGTTGTTGGGGAGTTGCGAGCTTGTTTCATTCTTAACCAGAGGTATCGGGTTTGAACTCGGTATGAATTTTTTTTTGTTGGGAGTGCCACCCCCGAATTGGCCCTTCAGTGCACCATGTGAACTTTGTACACTCGTGCGCGATTCGGATTTAGTCACGGCTCCAATGTGAGCTCTGGACACCGAATGGGAAATTAAAAAAAAAAGGAATAGTACAAAAAGGCACATAAAGTGTGCTGAAAATTTTATCATCATAAAACTGAGTAAAATCTTGCCTTGGCAAAAAGGATCCCTTTTTCCAGCACCCATCCTAATTCCTACAGCTTTGGCTCAGTTTTCAGAGCAAATATAGTACTACTTTCTGGTTTTTGATTTCTTGAAGAAAAAATATTCAAACTCCATTGGAAGAAAAGATGGTGGCAACAAGGTCAAGTTTACAAGGAGCTAGCTCATCTTCAACACTCCAAGGTCGGTTCCCCTATAAGAAAAAAAGGAGGTACAAAAAAGTTTCTAGGATTTGTGGTAAGTTTTTCCTTCTAATAAATTGTTATATTAGGAAATGTGAAATGTAGCAAACATGATTAAAAAAGAGTTAATGGTCAAAGATACACTTGTATCTCGACTTTTCGAGTTTCGTACCTAAACTATCATGAGTTATCTGCGTGAACTATCACCAAATGTTTCACTCGCACACTTAATAGTTTAAGTATGAAACTCGAAAAAACCGGGTTAGGTGTGTTTTTGACTCATCATTCATTACAAAAAGACAAGAAAAACCTGTACATGCATGATTTTCAGTGTTTTCAAAATGGTATTTTTCACTTTGTGCTAGTTGTGTAACACAAATTGGAAACCTGGGGTGCCCTTCATTTTCTTGTTTCTCAAGTGAAACATCAAAAAGATGCAATCTTTACAAGATTATAGCAGTTTCTTGGCATTAGGGGTTCTACTAAAGTAATATCATGCATTTCTGCATTCAAAAAAACAAACCTCGTCAGTTTCTTATAAGGCTCTCTGTTGGCATCTGGTCTTTGTTTTTTGTGTGTATGAGAAAAGTAATGTTATTTCGTGTATCATGAATATAGTAGTTTCCTCTAATTATCGTCTCGAAACATTACCACTACTAAGTGGTCACAATTTTGACAAATCTTGATTCACCTTGCTACTCTTCTGAATAGTGGCTTTTGGGCCAGCTTGTGAGCACATCAACTAATATTTTCTTTTATTCTTTCTAGTATAAGATTGTAGCTTAGTTGATTGAGCAAAAGTGTTTCGAGTTGAGCTTTCAGTGATTGGATTTGTTAGGACAGGATGTAGTAGGTTGCTAGTATGTTCTATGTTGGAGTTTTGTATAATCGAACCTTCCTTTTCCTGAGAAAAGTAGGATCTTTTTGTCATCATATTTGCTAATAAGTTCTTCCAGTCCATAGCACCTTCTCCTTTGCTTGCACACAAGGTAGGATGAACTTCTCTCATTTATAGCAGTCTTAAGTTTGTGTGCTGTTTTCATATCGCGTTGTGTGTTCTGCTTAATCATTGAAGGTGCAGAAGGAGTCGGGCATTTCTTTTGGCTGCCAGAGCTGAAGTCAATGGAATGGACATTGAAATTTTTGTGTGCTTGTATTCCTGCATAATACTATGAATTACCCGTATCAGACTTTTAACCGAGTTTCTCTGTGTCATTTCGACTTTTTAGTTGTATTCTTAACAACAAGAATGAAATAATGACACAATGAATCACGACTTCTGTTGGAATTCGTTTCTTTTGTTGGAACATCATGCAAATATTTCTACATTGAAGCTTTTTTGCTGATAGGTTTTCCTTCTAATAAGTGGTTGCATTAGGTTGCGCGTTGATCCTCAAAGACATGATTAACTTCTGGAGGATCGATCACACGTCTATTTCATTGTTTCTTCTGATATCTTAAACTAAACAGTTGATATTGTTTATGTGACAGTGCCAACAAAATCTCCAGCAGTTCCCTCACTTCCTGTGCCACCAATAGGATCAAATGAAGATACTCCTTCGCGAGTTTCAACAAGCACAAATGCTCCAGAGCTAGTTCCCCCACCTCCTGTGCCACCATTGGGGTCAACCAGTGAAATGCCTATGCTAATTCCTTGTGATGAAGAGGAAGAACAGAGAGATACAAAGTTAAAGTTAACTCCTTTATCAAGACTGAAAACAGCAAAAGAAACACATACTAAAGCAAATGGACATTCTTCTCAAATGCATGAAAAATCAAAGAAAGTGATCACTGATGAAGTCAAGTCTATGTTGGTGTCTCATCTTACTTCTGAGACGACTACTAGCGTGGATGACATGGTTACTTTAGCCAACCGTGCTTTCACCACGATGAATTGGTTTGGCGCTGATTATGGTTCATTCTACAAAGATGTCAAGGACTTGATTGCTTACAAATATGATTTACTCACTGCTGACAGAAAACTACATATGTTATCTGTTTCAGAATTGGAGAAAAAATATCTCGACATTGTTATTTTTGCAGATGATATTGAAGAGGAGATTGAACACATTCAAGTAAATCAAAAAATGGATAAGGAGAAAAAGGAACCTCTGATGAAGCAAATAGAAGATGCAAGAGAACTGATTCGTAGATTGGAACGAGAGGTTGCTGATATTGAACAAGACGAGAAATGCTTGAAAGATGATGAGATAAAATACAAAACAGCCCATAGGATTGCACAAGCTAAGGTAGAAGTACTTGGTACACAAATGGAGACAGCTAGAGAAATGCAGAGTGAAATTACGCAGCGCAAGAATATAGCTCTCCAAGGGATTGAATCCACCACTCGACGCCTACTGTCTTACAAATAGCATTTGATGAAGAGTCTCTTGTAGATTTTGAAAACATTTCAAGATGAAACATTCTATGTACAATCATACTTATTATTTATTTTCTTGATATTTCTATGTAATTTTATCATTGTTATCTTTTATTTATTATATTAATTTATAAACTATTAAAACTTAAAGATTCATGAGGCTTACGTACCCTTTGATGTTGACAACTAATAAATCATAGTTAATGAAAATATATTGCTAACATCGTCGTGATTCATTCATTTTATTTATGAGTCTTATTTTTCCATTTAATCATATTAATACCATTAAAAATATATTTCTTAAAATATTAATCAAACTTTATAATAGTTTGAATTTCAAAAAATGGAAAAAATTTCATAAGTATCTTTTAGTAGAAAAAAATGGTTTTATCTCTTCCTTCACTCAATCACAAAAGAAGCAAATGATTACTTCTTCTTTTTTCCTTCACAATATTTGGAAAAAATTTAGTATGGTAGAGGCACAACAAACAAAAATTGTGTGAGGCTCCACTAATTCCTTCACACTTGGATATAGTGAGTCCATTCTTTGACTTAAAATCTCCAAACATTAGGAAGAAAGAGAAAATATGATTTAAAATTGACATGACCTAATGAAATTATACTAAATAATATAAATAAAGTGAATTATGGGATCCACTATTCTTTAAGCTCATCATATCCCAAAATAAAAATAAAAATTCGAACATCATTCTTCTTCAACTTCGAACATTTTTTTCTTTTTTTTCTTCTAAATTGAAATTTTACCAAAATTATATCTCTCAATATTAGGAATTGGCAAAAAAATTTTATCAAAATTATATCTCTCAATATTAGGAATTGGCAAAAAAAAAAAATTGCTGAAATATTTTTGTCAGAAAATTTGAATCGCTAAGTACAAATATAATTAAATTTATATATATTCAAAATGATTTTTTGTAAAAAATATTCAAAATGATGTTCATGTTTGAATGTACTTTAATACATTATTAAAAGTGAAAATTGAGTTGAAAATAGATTATTTTAAAAAATTAAATAATTTTTATGTTTAAATTGATCCTAAAAGTAGAAGTTAAAAAGTAATGAATTAGGAAGATGAAAAATGGTTTAATCCTATGATACAAATACGAATAATATTTGTATTTAAATTTGAATATTAATATCTTAGGTAATTATTTAACCATAAAAAATATTTTTATTTATATTATAAAATTGAAGGAGTAATTGAATGGTTTTCAAATAATTTTACTATTTTTTTTAAAAAAAAATTGGCAAGAAAAAAGAAGAAGAGAAGACCATGAAAGAGAAACAAAAGGCAATGAAATAAAAGTAAAAAATGAATCTCATAAATCAGAATATAATTGCAATAAAAAATACCCTCACACAACTAATACAAGTTATACCTCTCCCATAGTAAATTTTTTCTAATATTTGCATGTCCTTTTTTTTCCCACACTTGTATTTACTTCTCTGCAACAAAACATCACCATTTTTGTCACTATCTTCACCTTTATTTCTCTCAAAGATACAATCTTTTTCATCCATTTTCTCTCTTAAAGCTCTTTGCTTTGCTTCTGCTTTGCTAGAGCTATTATTTTTTATTTGCAGTGCAAAAATCACTAAGAATGTTAGAGGGAAACTCTGATTCTGATATAAAACCTGGGTTTACAATACCTTTGGCTAAGATTGTACCTACAAGGTGCAGTTCAAGAAAAAGGGCTCCCCCAAATATCTATGTTCCTACCCATTTTCGCCCTTCTCCACGACGACACAACCAAGGTTTACGACGGGGTCGAGGTCGCCCTCCGAAACAGAGGGCAGATGGTGAGATAGAGATATGATTTTATATATCTAGTACTATATGAGTAACATTGTTTTTATTTGTGGGCTTTTATATGTTGTTTATTATGTTTAGGTGATCTCGCTATTTTGTTGATATTACTGTGTGTTTTTCTAGGTCATTTTTCCTTTTATTACTACTTTGATTTGTTTCACTTGAGTCGAGGGTTTTTCACTGTACTATGAGGTACTGGTAAGATTTGTGTATATTCTGCTGTTAGTAGGTATGCTGTTATTGTTGTTGTTTCTTTGTGGGGTTTAGTGTTAAAGTAGTTCTACGAATTCTAGATCAACCACCTAAGCTGCATACAATAGGTCCTTGTTCTCGGGCCCTTCCCCAAACCCTGCTCATAGCTGGAGCTTTAGTGCATCGGGCTGTTTTTTTTTTTT